AAAAAAAAAAAAATTGAACGAACAGATTAACTGTTTTTAGTTGTCTGGGTGTAGTTCTCCTAGATTCAGCTTTTTTTGGCTGGTTGATTAAGTTATTTTAGCTGTTTACTAGTTTGTAGTTGTTTGTTAATTTAGCAATATATCTTTCGTGTTGGAAAAAAAACTCGAATAGATTAAGCAATATCTCCACATGCATGTGCCAGTATTGTTCCCTTATGTACTGGTTTATTTTGGTATTTCTTATTATAAAGTGAAGTTCACTCTGGTTTCGGTTTTGGAAAAGATAAAAGATTGAATTTTTTGTTCATAAGAGTTTTCAATCCTCGAAAAGGAAGACGCTTTAACATGCTCACAATTATCTCCGCCTCATAGCGGAAATCATGTGAATGCGTTCAAGAGTTTGGTACACTTCTCTATGTCATGTTTTTGTTGTTATATCATGTATGGGGTCCCTGGTCCTTGTATTTAAACTTGCTCACAATGTCTTTCCACATTTTATTTAATCTTGCTTTCTCTCTCTCTCCCTCCCTCCCTCCCTCTCTCCCATCTCTCTGTGTGTTTGTTGCAACATGAAATTCATATCCTAACGAAAGAAGAAAAATGCATTGATGCTTAGGAGGATTCATGACCCCGTCACTTGAGCAAATATTTATGCTTTTTCAGACATACATTGATTGTTTGTCCCGAGTGCTTGAGTAACTGTTTAATCTTACTTCTTGTCAAGTTTGGAAACCTTTCATGATAGGTCATGTAAGTGTCTGGAGGAAGCAATAGATAACCCGAGGTTCAGCTTGTTGAATAACTTAATGCAAATACTTTAGTTTTTTCTATGTACTCATATGTCAGCAGTTATTGAGTATAGGCCATGAAATAGTTGAAAGTTACTATAAACTTGTTATAAATTAAACAGTTATTTGCAAATGACTTGATTATCACATGTTAAGCTTGTAGGTGCTGAAGTTGAATGCGATGCAGCCTCAACCACTAAAACTTACCATCAAATTGAAGATTGATAAATCTGCCGACAACCCGGGTAATGTAGAGCAAGAACCCGATGCCGCAAGTAATTCTAATCTGCCGAACAACCTGTCAACGAATTCTAAAGATGAACCCAAATTAAGTTGTACAGAAGCTCTGGAAAAACACAGCACTGAAGATAACGAACCGAATGAAAATTCTCAGTATCAGTTGGTGGTTTATGATGCCACTGCAAGTGGTACTACTAATGGCTCTATTGTGACTAGAGCTTCTCGTAGGCCTTCAAATCAGCCAGCACGTGTTTTCCCGTCTGTGGGTGCCTTCACCGTTCAGTGCTCTAACTGTTTCAAGTGGAGGATCGTCCCAACAAAGGAGAAGTATGAGGAAATAAGAGAGCATATTACCGAACAGCCCTTTTTTTGTGAAACGGGTCGGGAGTGGCGGCCCGAGATTTCGTGCGATGACCCGCCTGATATAACGCAGGATGGGAGTAGGCTATGGGCGATTGACAAACCGAACATTGCGCAGCCGCCGCCAGGCTGGCAACGACTACTGAGACTCAGAGGGGAAGGAAGCTCAAAGTTTGCAGACGTGTACGTATTAATTGTGTTTATTTGTCTTTTTATATATGTGTTGTTTGCCGGTTTTTCCAAGTGGTTGTTAAGGTTGCGATTGGTTGTGTTGCACTTTTTGAAAAAAAATTGTTTTGATAGAGTAGTGATGGGAAAAGATTGAAAGGAAAGGATGAATCTTGAGGGTGAATGATATGATATATAATTACACTGGTGAATGTCTTTGTGATACAAAGATAATTGAATGATTGGTGGTAGAAGTTGTGTTTGTCCTACATCAGTTAGTTTGTCGGGTTATTGCGTAGAAGTGTGGGATTATGCAACCTCTCCCTTCTTAGCTAGTTTTTGTGAATGAGTTTTACCTTAGGCCCATTTGTGGGTGAATGATTTTTATTTATTTTAGTGAAGTGTGTAGATCTGATTGGCAGACAAAAATCGACTGAATGAATAGCATATCCTGTAAGAGTTTCTGCAGAGAAACACTGCTATGGTAAAAAGATTTTCCGTAGCTGAAGAAAATGACTTGAAATGACATACAAACAAAAAAGAAAATGATCTATTCTTAGAACCTTATTTATGAGTCAGAATTTTACGTATTTAATCGTTTTTAGGGATATCCATTTACTTCTTTTTTGATCTTTTGTAAATCTTCTACAGGTACTATGTTTCACCATCGGGCAAGAGACTTCGTTCAATGGTTGAAGTTCAAAGGTATAATAATCTCTTCGTGACTCGTGTGATGTATTCTGGATCAGTAGTTTTCTTCACATTTCATTTCTGGGATTTCGTGATGTTATCTTTCAAGGTACCTTAATGAGCACCCGGAATACTTAGAAGATGGTGTTAGCTTGTCTCGGTTTTCTTTCCAAACCCCAAAACCTTTGCGCGAGAGCTATGCGCGAAAGCGTCCTGCTCAAGATACGTTTAATGATGATGCTGGTTCTGAAGGGATTTCACAAGGTAACCTGAAATTTTACTTTGAAATTGAAGACATTTCGGAGCTCTCAGTGAACTTTAAATAAAAACTGAGTTGTTTACAGCACTTTTCAAATGCGAATTAAGTGCTTGAATGCAATTTTGTGAATTGGAAAAGGCAAAGGATAGATTTTAAATTCTAAATTTAAGTTGAACTCAGTATATAACTTTGATTTTAAGTAATTGAGTTGATTTTCCATTCATGTGTTGAAGACACTCACATTTATCTCTTTTATTTTCTTGTAATTTGGTTGAGCAGAAATCATTTACCATATGTGTTATTCTTATTTTGTGTTTTAGATTCTTGAAGATATTAATTTCTCTTGTTGATAACATATACTCGTTAAGAATGCAATTTTTTGTCGATTTTCTGCAGTTCAACCGATAGCATGGATAAGTCCTGATGTGGACACGGACCTTCAGCTTAGAGGGCCCGGGCTTTCGACCGACTATTCAAAGTCTCTTGATTCAACCCCTGAAATCAAATCGGCAAAGAAGAAAACCCTGAAAAGGTCCCTATCCAAAGGGAGTTGCAATGCCAATTTGGAAAAAAAGTTTAACTGCAGTGATGTCGATGTGGGAGAGTCTCATCAGCTTTGATCTAGTGTTGTAATGCTCGAGAACTTTGTAACCGGAATGTGTGAGTTCGTGATGGTTTGAAGCTTTTCCGCAATTTTCACACACTCTAATCGTGTAATGTAGGTTGTATAAATTATGAATTTGAGTTTGTTTCGAGTGTACACTGCTGACTTTTGAAAACTAGGATTGCTCATATGTGTGATTTTCTTGTATTGAGCTCCATCTTCTTGTCTAATACAGCAATACTTACTGCAGATTGTTATGTGTTTTACATTTGGATATGCATTTGCCTAAAAACTGCTCCCTGTATTGAGCTCCATCTTCTTGTCTAAATTATGCATGCGCGTAAAAGCTGTTTCCACCGATAGGAAAAACGAACACGATATACAGAAACAGAAGCCTTGATGAGCATGACACATAACACAATAGCACGATTTGTCACCCTACAATTAGTGTTGTATAGCATATGATTCGAACAAAATGCGCAAGCAAACAATCTGAAAATTTTTTGATAAGTGCTCAAAAAAGTGGAGAAAAAATCACATTTCATCAGAAATTGTTGCCGTTTATTTGTAGTTTCTGGAAAAAAAAAAAA